CCACACCTGAAAGCATAGGGTGCTTTAAATTAAAGCTTGCATCATAGGACACATGTTCTGGATCACCAAATCAATTTCCACTGCACGTGTGACAGTGCATTTATATGGCCATTTTCTGGTGCATCAGTGTCACTGCATACATACGCATATGCGAAGGTGCACATGTTCACCAAAGGAGCGGGAAAAAGCGGCTCCTTTTTGGACCATCTTTTCTTGGCATATGACGGCTAGAGGGCACTTTCCTGGAGACTTTTATGTGTGCATCATCTAAAGACCACACCTACAAGTGACCCTTAAAGCACCACTTTTTGCCCATCTGTATAGCCCCTAAATTTAGCATTTACTTTCATTTAAACCTTATGATGAAACACTGTAAACTATTAACAGTAAAATCAGTCCTGAAATTAACCGTGGAGTAATTTCGGGATTGGTTTAATTTGCTGATTTGGTGAGGAAAAAATGCACATACTGTGTAGTCCTGTACAGTAATCTTTCTGTAACACAGTGACTTGGCAAAGTTCTGTGGTCTAAGAATAGAAGCATTCGTGGGAAAGCATCTGACAGCTGCACATTTTGGAAGTCTCTGTGCTTGCTTTGTTTTCTATGCATATGCTAATAGGCCACTTCAACATTTGTACAAAGAAGCACAGCTGAAAAACATATTTGCTACTCTTCTACTTTGAACATCAAAAAAGTCAATGGGGAGCTTAAATGCTATCCAAAAGTTTACTTCTATATTATTGGATGAGCAACATAGTTTGAAATTAATGCAAAGAGTTGCTTCAGTCTGCCATTCCAATACTTTAGTCCTAAGAATATTTAGTAGAATGCAAATCTCACTTATTCATTTCCTAAGAATTAAGGGCTAATTCTCTGTATTTTTGAAATATTAGTGTTCTAATAGTGATAGAAACATCTTTAGTTTCATGAGGAGGGTGTGAACATTTTCCTATGAGGGGAAAAAAGCCCTCTAAAATTGTTTTAAAATTATCACAAATAAACTATTATTTGTCATGAGGCATTGACCAGTGAAATGAAGTGGCAAGATTTTTGAGATATAACACGCATATCAAAATAAAAAATCTTGCATAACACATGACTTATAATAAACATGCTATAAAACTGCTATCTCTTTTTATTTCTGAAATGTTAGCAATAGACAGCATTGCTATCTGAAAGAGAATTTGTCACTGGTAACATGACTTTTGAGATAATATATATTGCTAATTTATTAAACATTCATGAGAACTTTAGAACTTTGGCACTTTTTTATGATCTTCATAAACTGCACTGTTGAACTGCTTTCCATTATTATCTTGAGGATGAAACTGGAATTAACCAACTGTAGGTCATTCTGCATACATGATAATAAAGTTTTAATGCACATCAGAACCACATGAGTGTTATTCATGCCTTCCTTTGTATTTAGATTTGAAATGTTATAGGGTACAGATTATTTTTTCTTGTTTTCTTGAAGTTTTATATTTTATCTCAAGGCAGCCTTCCCTAACTTCAATGTTCTAGAAATAGTTTGTGTACAAGCAGAAGTCACTAGCTCTACTATTTCCACCCTCCTACCATTATTTCTTAATGTTACTGAGATCTCCCAACCCGCCTTCACCAGGCATTCCTTTAGCCTTTCCTCCTGTTTACAGTCCTCTACATCCACTTTACCAGGTTGTCTTCCCCTTAAACTCAGGCATGATCATTCTCTGTTTGTCTCTCAGCTGTTTGGAGTTGCTGGTATTGTAGTTGTCATCATCATCATCATCATCATTTAGTTTTATAGGACCATCACTGTACATGATGCTTTACAAGTAAAAGAACAACAAAACAGTTCCCTATCCTCAGGTTTACAATCTAATTAAGACATGACAACAAAAAGAAAAAGGGATGTCAGTGGGGGAGAATTAAGCCCAACAGATACTGTCTCTTCTTCTCTCCGTCTGAGGCCAGGGCAGTGGCAGTTTGGATGGAGGGAGGGCCTTCCATCTGCTTCTGGGCCCAGGCATGATGGAGCTGTGCCTCCTTCTTCTATTCTCCATCGACGACCAAGGTGATGGCAGTTGGGATGGATGGAGGACCTTTGATCTGCATCTGGACATAAGCATGATGGAACTGTGCCTCCTTCTCTAAAAAGAGATCTGAAACTACCTACAGGCCCCATGGAGAAATAAATAGACCAGGCCTGTCAGTAGACAAATATGACATCATTCTCCTGGAACTCCTGGGGGCCAATAAATGTCTGGCAGAAACCCAGGTAGAAAGGATGGAGAGGCATGGGGTCATTGTGGATAGAGATGCTGTGTGTGTCCATTGTCAATTACCATAAAAGATCATATGCAGACACAATTTCATATTGTCCCTGCATATTCCACAAACAGGTCAGTACATCAAGTTTTCTTGAATGTTAGAAGTGTATATCTGTATTGTATGCTGCTATTATTTGGGGGGAAAGTAAAGTGCTGTTTCTTTCCTTCTTTTTCTTTAGGAACGAAGACGAGAATTTGAGAACAATCTAGCAAAGGCAGGTCTGGAACTAGAAACTGAAGACAAGAAGGTAAAAAAAATCTTTATATTTTAAAATACAGTTACCCCTCCATTTCCATGGAGGTTCCATTCCAGATCACCACCACCAAGCGCATGCCCCATTTTGTCCCCCTCTGTTTGCCACCGGCGAAAGGGGGAGGGATGCGAACACCAAGTCCACGAAAATGGAGGGGTGACTGTATGCATACAAGATAGGGATGAAGCTCTCAACTTGGAAATTGCTAGGCAATAGAAGATAATGTCATATCTTTAAGGCCATTGTTTTGGTTACTGTGTTTAACATTTGCTACTCTATTTAATGTATCTTTGCTGGCAAGTGGTTATATTTTCCATGTTTAGCATTTGTTGGTTGAGAACAACATGCTCCAGTAGGAATGAAAAGAGTGCATCCTGTGGGCTTCAAGTGGCCCCATGACTGTTTTCAGTCCCCCAGGGGACTACATCTCCTTAAATTTTTGAAAACAATTGAAACTTTTTAAATAATAAAATGCCCTCTACATTCTCTGAGCGGGTGTAGGGGCAATTGTGTCATGTTATTAAATCAGAAAGTAAATCTGAAGTTCACTTCAAGTTGACTTCCAGATTTCAAAAAGGTTTCCTGGGCCTAAAACTGTCCAGACGGGCAAAAATATTGTGAATTTGCTTCCTGCAACACCTAGAGGCCATGGGAGGCAGTTTATTACATGTGTTTAAGCAGGTGGTCATGGATCATTCTGAGGCCTGGTGGACAATGTGACCA